AGGTTTTGACCCTTGCCAAGGATCTCACTGATTGGTACATCAAAGACAGCCCAATCCGACATCTAGTGTAGTATCATAATCGAGTCTAGGGGTTAGGTGTAACTTTCCAGTTTTGCCCATCTATCTCCAAGGTCCAGGGCAATGCTGGAAATCTGGTCCAGTTCAAAGATTCAATTAATCCTACACTGTATGTGCCTAGGGTCTCACCCTGGCAGCTGAGACAGACCACCCCAACCGGCTTGGTGGTACTACAGTGTCAGTCTTGTCAGGATAGGTCTCCCCAGACCGATCCACTGGCTGTGAACATTCTAAACTARCACGAGTCTCATTAAGTGTCCAGTTTAAGGGTATTACACAGAAACATACCAAGGGAACATTAATCAAATATGCACTTTTATTTATTTACAATAAACTCATAAAATACATCATTCTTGATTGAAGCTAAGGGCATACAAAACTGTCTAACAGAGGAAGGGTAAACAAGCACTGCAATGTAAAAGTTAAAATTATTGTTTTGTCCTTCAATTACATTTTACAGATGCGAGGAAGCAGAAGCAAAGGGTAAACTAAGGCTCCCAATTGCTGGGGTTGATCCAATTATAAATTATCCAGATCAATTGAATCCTCTTGTCTAGGGTCTCAGGAAATGTACGTTTATGAAATGGCAGGTCTGCTTCACAATTCTATGATAAATAATGATTCATTCAGAATCTATGTCTGAAACTGCTAAATTAAGTGATCATTGCATGATTTAGAGCTTTCTGTTTGTAAATGCATGTATTTTTGTCAATAAAGAAATAAAATCTTGGCAATTAGAAAGGAGAAATGGCTAATTCTTCATTTGTTGGCAATAAAATAAACTTCAGAATCAAGTACCATGATTCAATTCGGTTAATCACACCCATATTTTTTTTCTTATCCAACATAAAACACCTAATCTTTCCTGTCCACCATAGAAATGTTTCTAGAAATTATACGAAATAGTATTAGAAAAAATGGATCAAGAGAACAACTGTTCAATGTAGCTTAAATGCCGTGTGGAAGTTCAGGAGGGAAGCATATGATACAAGTGCTTAATAATATACATCAAAGGACACCAAAAATTCAATAAAATCACCTTCGCCAGGATGGGTGATCTGTGCTCCAGCTTTTGATAAGCAACAAACACATAAAACCAGAAGGGCTCCAAGCGACCAAACTCTCAATCCAGACATCTTAGAACTATAGAAAACCGCCTGGATTCTAGAATAGCTAACTCCACTAAATGCTGCAAATCACCTTAGACGTCCAAATTGGTTGCCTGCCCACACAACAAAAGTAAAAAGACCAAAAAAAACTCTTCCGAGTTAGAAAACATCTTAAAGTATCTTCAGATATATAAATGGATAGATAGATAAACCAAATTTCCAAACACTTGATTTTCGGAAGCTCAAACTCCATGGACCAAACAATTTTCCAAATAGTTGCAAGTAAAAGAACTGGAGACTTCAGCACTTCTTAAAATGTAAAGATAAAATCAATAATGCTCATATCAGATAGCTCTAATTGTAGCCAATTCATCCATCTTTCTGCACAAAAAGTCGGAATTCCGAAAACATTCCCACACAATTTAATGTTAAGCAGACAAGTTCTTACTCCAGTGAGTTCGAAACCCTAGAAATCAGGAAGCAAGTCCGGCCGACGTGTTTTCATGTACCATGAAGTGTTGTAACTTGTAACTCGTGAGAATTCTTCAGCAGGCTTCGGGCCCAAAAGTGTAAAAAATTACTTCCCTGATGTTGGCTAAACAGATGCGAATGCGATATCTTTATCGGCTGGAAGTCTCTGCTTCTGAATCTTCTGACCAGGTCTCCAAGACCAATGCAAAAGCTGATATCGATAAGATTCATTCTTTTCTCCTTTTTCTTGTTCTTGTTCTCTTCCTTTTAAATAAGATTAATGCGTGCGTTGGGCGAATTTGACTTCGAGATGCAGACGGAGAATGACAAAAAGATTTACAGTTCGATTTTGATTTTGGAGGCGTAAGATATGACATGAGCCCACATTCGCATTTAAATAGGTTGTCGTTGTCGAGCTTTGCGGGACAAAAGAAACCCAGCGAGGGTGACAAGATTAACTACATCTCCAACCTACGCACCTCTTTTCACACGAAATTATTGGTGGTGGGCGGGAGATCACATCGGCGCCCCACGTTCTTGCTAATTTAATTGGCCAAGTGTCAAATCTTACCTATTTTCAATAAATAGAGTAAATTATAGACAACCACCCTGTATTTGGGAGGTATTAACACTAAGCCCCCTGAACATTGTTTTAAAGACCTCTCCAAATTTCTTGATCTCGGCACTTTACCCCTTCCGTTAAACATTTTCTTTCAACTTTCCTTTAACAAAATTCATCATGATAATGATTTGGGAATGATCAATTCATCATGCCTTTGGGGTGATTCTAGAGATTTTGCAGCAATATTGTGATGCCTCTGGTCATAAGCTCAAAATCTGAAGTATTTTATAGTCCCAACTTCCACCCAAGACTTAGAAAATTATAATAAGATTGTTGGGGATTAAAAAAGTGAACAGCCACCTACTTGGGTCCCCCTTCTTCATTGGGTAAATCAAAAAAGAGTATTTTTAATTACTTATGTGAAAGATTGGAGATCAATACAAGTGGCGGAAATCATCTTTTTTAAGGAGAAGTACGAATAGGCCTAATGCATATTGAATTCCACTACAGTGCTATAAACATTTAAAATGTCAAAAACCCCCACTTTATACATCAATGTCCGCCTGTGAATTGGCATCAATTCCGAGCTGGCACCCACCCCAATTGTACTTTGGGCCTAAAAATTCTAACCCTAGGTTGAACCGTCATTCTCACTCTTTCTTATCTTCTACAAGAAGGAGGTTATGATTAAAGTTGTCCTCTCATCAATTCCCTCATATGCCATGTCTTGCTTTCTGATCCATTGATTGTCCTCTTCAAACCGGCTCATTTGTAAGTATCTATAACTGGATCACCTATCGGTATAAAGACCTCCCTTGGACCTGCTACTTGTGTAGAAAAATTGGCCATCTTTTCCGTCGGTGCTCTCAACCTCTTCCAGACACAGCATGCCATTCTTTTGACCAATTTATTAATCGGCGGCCAATGAATAATCCAGGCCCCTAGTTGAGAGCCGAATAGGCTTTACGGCGGACATGGAGGCGTCCTAACTTTGGTGATTTTGTTAATCTCAATGCAACTACCCTGTTATCCTTTGAAAACCTTCACAATGAAGCAACTCCTTCCCCATCTAATCATTAAGTCCAATCTAATGAAAACTCTACCCCAGTCCCACCGGTTTTCGCAAGTCTATTGGTAACTTCGAGTTCATCCTCCCCCCCCTCCCCCTTTAGAGTTTCAGCTGAAACTTTCCAACTAGCGGCTTCTGCTCAAGATTTAGTCAATCGCCTTTTTGAAGATACTCCTGGTCCCTCCTCTTCAGCTAGAGGGAAAAGGCCTAGAAATGACCTGTTATCAAATCTGAAAGCTGATCATCTGTCCCCAAACTTACCCATTTACAATAGGCCTAGATCTTTAGGCACAGCTGAACACAAGGAATGTATTGTCTCCATCCATCACGTGGCTCATAATGATCCCAGTGCAATTCCAGAGGATCAACATTCTATAAGTATTTGTATGCTATTTTTTTTCTATATGTTTATCTGTCTACGAGCAGAGGTGGCTGACCAGGTAACTATCCTGGTCATAACCATAGCGGACTGGTGGCCTGGATACTTGGGTGGATCTCCTAGGTTGGTCACTACCTGGAACTTGTGAGACATCTCCCACTGCTCTTGAGCTCTCCTCATCAAGAACTATTTCCTGATGATGGGTGTCCAAGAGGTAATCGGTCTCTAAGAACTGGGCGTTTCGACTGCAGAACACTTTCTGCTCACTTGGGTCATAGAAAAGATAACCTACTGAATTCGTTGGGTAGCCTATAAATAGGCAATGACTGGTCTTGGATTCCAACTTGTCCGCACTCGTTCTCTTAACGTGCGCAGGACAACCCCAAATCTTCAAGTGTCTGACACTTGGTTCCTTTCCGGTCCAGAGTTCGTATGGAATTTTCAGAACCGATTTGGTTGGAACCCGATTCAGCACATAGATAGCAGTCTCTAATGCATATCCCCAAAAGAATGTGGATAATTCTGAGTGTACGAGAAATGACCGGACCATGTCCAACAATGTCCTATTCCTCCTCTCTGAAACACCGTTGAGTTGTGGTGTGGCAGGAGGAGCCAATTGTGACACTATCCCGTTGACCTTCAGGTAGTCCCTGAATTCGTCAAAGAGATACTCGCCACCTCGATCTGATCGAAGGGCCTTAATTTCTCTCCCTAACTATTTCTCGACTTCTTGTCTGAACTCTTTGAACCTTTCAAAGGATTCGGACTTATGTCTCATTAGGTACACGTAACCATAACGAGAATAATCATCGGTAAATGTAATGAAGTACACGTGTTGGTTACGAGTCCTAACACTCAGGGGACCACATACATTAGTATGTATACGGTCAAGTGTGCCTGTACATCTTTCAGGCTTACCGTTAAATGGYYRTTTYRTYATCTTGCCTYGKARGCAAGGCTCACAAGTGGGAAGATCTTCTACAGTTAGAAAATCCAAATAACCATCATTTACCAGCCTTGTGATTCGATCAATACCGATATGGCCAAGTCGATAATGCCACAGGCACGTGGGATTAATTGTATCACGAGTTCTTTTCTTGGGGATTTCGACCGACGTAGTTTCGGTTAAGTTAGCTTCTAGAGAAGGACGTAGAACATAGAGACCGTTCTCTAGTTCTCCGCATGCGATGAATTTGTTGTTCCGTTTAACAGTAATCACATTACTAAAATAAACAGTATATCCATCAGCACACAGTTTAGAAACATATATCAAATTTCTTCTTAGGTTCTGTACATAAAGACAATCTTTAAGTACAAGTATTCCTTATCTAAAGACTAATTCTACGGTTCCTATTGTCGTAGCTGCAACGCTTGCAGTTGTTCCCAAGAAAAGTGCTACTTCTCCTTCACTTAGCCTTTTACTAACTTTGAATCCCTGCAGTGAATTACACGCATGAGTTGAAGCCCCGGAGTCAACACACCAGGACATAGAAGTGACTAACATATTACTCTATGACACAAGTTTTGAGGTTACCTTTCTTAGATTCTAGGTAGGCAGGACAGTTCCTCTTTCAGTGGCCGATCTACTTGCAGAAGTGACAGGCAACTTTCTTCTAGGGCTTCTTTGCCTTCCTCTTTTTCTTGCCTGATTTGCTAGCTTCAACAAGCATAGCCACAGGCTCATCCTTTTTTATCAAATCCTCGGCCCTTTGCAACATATTGTTGAGTTTCTAGATGTTGATATTCAGCTTGTTCATATTATAATTCATTATGAACGGGTTAAAGGAAGGAGGCAGAGAATTAAGGATGGCATCCACTTGCGTGGCAAGATCTAGCCCGGATCCAAGAGCTTCCAGTTCGTTGATATGGATCCAAGAGCTTCCAGTTCGTTGATATAGGCCATCATCCGAAGACAATGGTCATGAACTTTCTGCCCCTTGGACATCTGCGCCGTCATGAACAACTTCAAGACCTTCTGCCAAGTAGAACGGTTCTGCTCTTTGTATATCGTCTTTAGACTATCCAATATGTCCTTGGCTAGTTCGATCTGATCGAACTGCCTCTGTATTGGATTGTCTAGGGAGGCAATGACATAGCAGCGGGCTAGGGAGTTTTTATCCTCCCAATCTTGAAAATCCCTCATTCGGGCCTCAGAAGCCCTGTCTCCTGGACGCTCTAGGGCAGGATTTTTCACTACCTTATCAAGTTTCTCGGAAGTTAAGACCAGCATAAGGTTTCTGTACCAGTCGGCATAGTTTGGGCCCTTAAGCTTGTTATCATCTAGGAGCTTTGCAAATTGAACGTTTGCCATTTTCTGATAAAACAATAAAACGTTAGTCCATAACCTTAGTTTGATTCATGTTACCTACGTAGATATGTCTTTTAATCTATGTTCCATTCCCATTTATTCATCTCTGAGATTTCCTTCCTATCTCAGTGACAGAGACGGCGAAATGTCTCTGGAAATGTGGGAAATCACATAGGGTGCGTGGAGCCAACTGTTTCATCTGCATAACCCCACCACCTTTCTATGACGGATCATATCCACTCATCGTTTGAGTTTCCCTTTGGCCTCTGTCAGACAAGGTTCAGAGCCGTTTTCAAGTAAACCTTTCTGTCCAGTGAGTGCTCACCCATCATATTCAGGTTACGCCAAGGTACCGTGAAAGAGTTCCCATTTTCTAGTGAAGCCCCTCCCACATTGGTCTATGACGCCCCTATTATCTTATGAAACACTCTGACAGATCCAATAGCAAATGGATAGCCCAATTTTATGGTGCATTTCCTCATTACTGAAGGACCCATCATCGTGCTAATGACGGAAGGCCTTTAGAGAATCCATCACATGGATCTCCCTATCACAAGCACTCATATTTGCTGGAGGGAACAAAATTATGCCCTAGTTAATTTAGGTCAAACCAGAGTGGCTCCCATTGACTTTCATAAAGTCAGATTTTTATGGTGGCCCAATTCGGCTAGGGTTTCCGTACGTGTCCCTTTTCAGGGTTGTGGGGCCCACCATGAAAGGAAGGGGTCATTCAATGACTGTATGGGACACCATGGCAATGATGTGCATTCAGCCATGGTGTGTGTAAGAGCCACTAACGAATCATCATGGGCCAAATGCTTATGGCCCATGGTCGCAGCACATCAAACATCCACACATCGCATGTAATGGAAGAATTGATCCAATCAATTAACTACTGTAAAGCCCATCAATCAGCCCATTTAAAATCCATAACATTAATAATTAATATTATCCAGGTATATGGGCTGAATTGTAGTTAGCAGTTCGGCCCATATAGCTTTTATGTAAAACTGGGCTTTAGCAATTTTAACTCTTTAAAACTAGGCTTTACAGGTTGGGCCAAATTAATCCCTACAATTGAACATCAGTTTTGGGTCTAAAAGTGTGAGAAATCTGGACTGAAAACAGTCCCCTTTCGAACCCTAGATTTGGTC